GGGTCTGATCTTTGTATATACAAAAAGTGTATTTAAAAAAAATCCCTGCCACTTTTTGACATGAGAATGGGTTCAGGTTGTTCTAAGCACTAAGGCACTTTGTAGCAATGGAACATGTTCACGGTGTTTAGAATGACCATTTAAATGTATAAGTGGATACTCACATACGGCACAAATAATGGCTTCTGCAAAATTACACATATTTAGCCTAATTAGACCATGGAGTATAAATAATACTCCCCAATTATTTTCCGTTATAATTACAAAATTATGTTCAACCTAAAAGGAATGACTACCCCACATATCGGGGTCTTCAAAGTAACTATTTAAAGATGTTCTATCATATTTTAAAGTAAAGTAGAGAGGCACATGAACGAAGGAGGTTTTTATTTTGGATATTATAGTGTAGTGCCCACTTGTAAGTATAGAGTAGCATATGGAGGGGAAAGACCACCGCCTATACTTACAAGTGGGCACTACGCTACAATATCCTAAGCCCATATCCGCAGAGCTGCTTATGTTTCTGCCATTTGAGTGACCACAAGAACCACACTATATCCATAAGGATTGTTCTGCCCAGGCATTCAACTTGGAGCTACAATTTAAGCTCTAGGAAATTGTGAGTGTGTTTCTTTTGTTTTATTCTATTTATTTGGACAGTGACACACTACATTTTTTTTTATTTTATTTTTCTCCCTGCTTTTATATATATATATATATTATTTTTTTTTAAGAACACTATGCGCTGCACCAAATCCTTGTACTTTCACATGTATGTATGTGTGTCTGTATGTGTATGTATGTGTGTGTGTCTGTCAGTTTCTATGTATTTATGGGTCTGTAAGTATGTATGTGTGTCTGTATGTGTCAGTATGTATGTGTGTATGTCAGTACGTGTCTGTATGTCACTATGTATGTCTGTGTGTCTGCATATGTGTGTGTCTTTTTCAGTATGTGTGTCTGTCAGTATATGTGCATCTTTCTGTGTGTGTATCTGTGTCATTTTGTATCAATGCATGTGTCTGTGTTTGTGTCTGTGTGTGTATTCCTCTGGGTGGGATTTGGAGGTTGGCCCTGGGGGCAGGCTTGGAGACAGACCCCCGGGGGCCCAGACCTTGAGCTGTGTTAGGGACACCAAAATTTCGGATGGCAGCCCTGGTCTCCAAGTTATTTATGTGGAAGTGCCTCTAGTGACCGTCAGAGCTGTAGGCTGAAAACTACAGGAACATGACACCCAGATTAATTTATTGAGATGTAGTTGTCTGGGGGCCTAATGTGTCTATATTAAAACAAAACTTCCCTGGCAGGAAAAACACTCTGCCCGAGTTGTAGCTGGTAGATCACCCTTATCTTTACCCATATCTATCACAGTCTAAATATTATTAACCTGTTGTAAGCTACTTTGATCTATCAGTGTCAGTGTGTATTGATGACAAACTTCAAGAGTTCTCAGTCAATGATCTATGGCCTGCATTTAACCCCTTAAGGACACATGACATGTGTGACATGTCATGATTCCCTTTTATTCCAGAAGTTTGGTCCTTAAGCGGTTAAGGGCTTAGCTCAGGAGAGCTAATAGAAGTTCTTGTTGATGAACTTTCGGCCCTTGAAAGACTGTAGTGAAGGTGGGGAGTGGAGCCCAGAGGACCCAGAGCAACAAGTCAAACTATTCAAAAAAGGTGACTCCTTACGGTATGGTGGGGAGCCAGTGCAATTCTGGGACTATAACCACTACAGCAAGCTACAGTGTTCCTTTCTAGACTTTCAGACCTTTCCTCATCTGTGTCATCATCCTATAGCAAAGTTGCTTATCATTAAAGGTATGCGCCAGGCACCAAAAGCACTTTTCAGTCTCTGCAAACAGATTTTTAGAAAATCTGCCTGATTGCATTGTAGAAGCGAGGGGCTTCACGAGTCTCAGCCCCTCAGTAATTAAGCTTATTGCAAAGTGAATGATTAGTCAGTTGTGTGAATGCACAATTTACTGGCAAGCCTGCTCAGTGAGGAGTCGATGGTTGAACAATGTCCTGCACAGATGGGAAAATGGAGTAACTGTAGAAACTAGTTCTGCAAATATTGCATGCTAATAAAAAAGGTCTGGTTTTACCTTTAGCCTCACAATCATAAAGTTTATATTTATGTAGATGGACTGTAGCTATGTGGAATAGCTTTCCCCAGTTGTTCCCACCTCCTATAACCTCCGATCCAGTACCAACACTTTACTTAGTCTACCTCAATACAAAAAGAAAACGGCCCGATCCTCCTTCTCCTACAGAGCACCGCAATTGTGGAACGACCTCCCGCACAATTTAAAATCATCCCTAAGCCTAAAGTCCTTTAAGAGATCCCTCTCTACATACCTCAAAACAGAATGCACGTGTCATGGTTGATTATATATTTCCTACCAGTTCTATGTTACATTTTGTATTTATTGTGTATTAATATTGTTTTTGTATTTTATTGTACCCTAATGTAACAATGCAATGATTTCTGGACCCAGGACATACTTGAAAACGAGCGAAATCTCAATGTATCTTTCCTGGTAAAATATTTTATAAATAAATAAATTCAGATATTGGTTACTGACCACTTTAACCTGGGCCTACACTTCAATGTAAAGAAAGCACATGTATTCTAGTATAAAAACACTAGGTGGCGCCAGATCCATCCATCATTACTACTGAACGTGCAGATAAATTGTGACATACATGGTAAAGGCAAATGGGAGCTATTTGTTCCCAAAGTGCTTTTTCTATCAAGAACTGGATTTTTACTCGTAAAGACACACAGTATTCTACTGCAGATATATTGGGGGAATTTTTTTAAAATTTTGTTTTTAACGGTTACATTTAATTAGTTGTTAACATATCTTCTAAGAAAATATCTTATCACTTGACCATTCTGCACGGTTTTCCAAATCTATGTAAATCTAGAATACTGAAAAGCGTTTTTTTTTTTTTTCGCTTTTTCCAGAAGCACATTTTTTTTCCCATCATGAGCAGATTTTCTAGAGCACCGGTTCTGAAAATTGAGTCCCTGTGTCATGTTAGTGGCTTCCCAGCTGATTGTGTACAAAAATGTATTGTTTGTGATTGAGTTCCCCAATTGCAGAAGGTACTCCTTAGATACAATGAAGAGTCTAATAAGGGAGTCTTTCTACATTTTATTTAAATGTGAATTATACTACAACTGAAGGATGGGCCATTGAATCAATGGCAGGTATATCATTTCGGTCCATAACAAAAAGAAAATAATTGAAGAACCCATTTATATAGCATGATTTACTAGGACTGGATAATTGAAAATAGCCGAAAGTCCTTCACAGATCATGAACAGAATATGTTTGATACACAGTAAAGGCATATTTCATTCAGTTGCTATGGTAATCTGTGCATAAAGGCAGTGAGCCCAGAGAGGTCTGATACATGTTAACCCCTTCATATGCCAAAAGGATCAAAGTATTCTACAAGCATTAGATTCATATAGCTGGGTCTCCTAACATCCACACAATGATAGCAACTGATCATTATACGCTTACTGCACTATTATTTGGCCATTTAATTGTTTTTAAAAATGATTAATATAAAACATTTTATATTTTTACAAACTCCTTTTTCTTTCTTATCTGCCATGGCCATTTTTAATTGGAAGCTTGGTCATCATATCATCATATATACACATAAACTTGACTCACAGTTACCACCAACCAACATACACCAGCACACATTCATCTTGCATTTATTGAGCTCACACGAACAATACACTCCTCTCGCACACTCACTAAGCTAACACTACCGTACACACTGATCGAAACAGAAAAAGTCACATACACACAAAAACATACACTTACAATGACCCCAAGCTGGAAATGTGTCTATTTCCTTATAAAGCAAAGTCAAAAACGTAGAAGAATGACTACCATACTTGAAAATGTCCAATGGGGGCAAACAACATTATTGAAGAAGGAAGGTATCAAGATTTTATGGGGTGTTTTCCCCTCCAGTAATAAGGTCTAGGAGTTCCCTAAACAGAGTCCATTATCCCCATTCAACTGAACTTTCCTTCCATCTAAAGCCCCTGCATTCCACGTCCCTACCTCCCATTTAATACTCCCTTCCACTGCCCATTTCTCCCATTTAATACCTCCCGATTCAATTAACCCTTTTTTCCATACAAAATATTCATTTCACTGTACCATGGGTAGGCTACATTCGGCACTCCATTTACATGGACTATACATACTCTGATGTTTTGCTAGCATTAGGGCTATGAGTGCATTATGGGAGAAGTTGTCCATAACATCTGGAGTGCCAAAGGTGGCCAACCCATTCTCTATACTTTCTCCTCCTTTCTATGATAGCAAGACTTTTTTTTTTTTTTAATTCTTTATTTTTGCTGTGCAGGTAGGTACAAGGAATCAACAGACGCCACAACAGCGTATTGGAAAATATACATTGGTATAACAGTGGCATGAGAGTCTGCACATTTTTAAAATTTTAACAAGTTTGGTTAAACAGTTGCGTCGTCAGCGTGAGATTGAGATTAAGGAAAATGCATCAAGATAACTGTCGCTAAACATATCTAAGTCGGCATTCATGCTGGGCAAACGTTGTGAAAAACTAAATAGTTAGTTGCTTTTTGTCGTTAAGACACGAGTTAAGGTCGTTATTAATAACTGATTTCTATAAGCTTAATTAAGTTTATCCACCAGAGAGCAGCAGAGCGACAGACATACCTGTAAGCTCAGACATTTCAGTTAGAGTAAGCAGAAGGATAGAGAACTTATATCACCTAACGCATCACAATGCAAACTTTTTCAATTGTACACATTTAAAATATGCAATAAACAAGGTTCAATAACAGTGACTACAAAGTTGATTTGGGTGTTCCTGTGTGCGCAATATTGGTAGGTTGGCATGAACCGTACTAGGGGTGCTAGTTAGTCATTTGACCGAACACAGTGGCATATCAGACTGCCATTTTGTTGCTAGTGTCCCCATTTACCCGATACCAGAGGTCGGCAGGCTTTCAGTGTAGGTCTGTGAGCTGTTCGCGGCTTTCTGTGTAGGGGTTGTCTCCTGTGCAGCGGCTGTGCCATTCCGGTTGTGAGCCATCGCTTGAGCTCGGTTGCCATCTTGTCTGTGTGAGGTGAGGCTTTGTTGGGGCTGTGCAGGCGTTTGTTCGGGGGCCTCCTCCGCCGCTTGTGGTCGCTTGAGAGGAAGAGTGCTGGCGACCGAGGGGCAATCCATCGCCACTCGTTGCTTTGCTCTCTGCCTTCGTCCCCTTCTGGAGGCCGCACTGGGGGCTCGCTGTGGGTACATAGAAAGTTGCCGCCTGGTAGCTGGTCGGACCCATAATGCTATTACTTGGACTGCTTCTTTAAAGGGCCGAACCTTATGCCGGAGTTGTGACCATAAACTGGAGCAGAGTCGGTCAAAGAACTCCTGGGTGTGTTTGGGTGGAGTGGCAAGGGTATTGCTTGTGCCATGGTTCGCCCTCTTTCTCCCTTTTGCTGTTTGCTTGTCTTTGCTGTGTTGTGGCTGCAGCATGCCACGTGAAGTGGGGCTGAGCTCCTCCGCCATCTTGGGCGCCTCTGCTTCCATTCTGCTTGGAAGTACAGTGGCGTCTGCTATGCTGTCCTGACTTGATGTTTCTCGTGTTGGTGGGGACCGGGATATCCCCCACCGGTCCAAAGGGGGGGGGGGAAGTGGTGTGTGAGTGTCCCCTCTTCAGCCTGAGAACCGGGAGAGCGGCCGTCTCTCCACGGCTCCCACCTGTGCAGGCCGCGAGTTGTGATGAGGGCTTTCCCGCGGCGGAGAGCCCCGAATCGGGTGTCTCCGGACTCAGCCTTCTCTCCTGGATGTGAGGGTGGTTGTCCGCTGCCGGCACGATCTGGTGGTCGGGCGTAAAGCCCTGAATCAAGGCTTCTGATGCGGGAGCTCCCACCATGAGCGTCCGGCTTGCTCGGCTGGTAAGCTCCGCCCCCCAGCAAGACTTTTTTTTATCCCTTCTATAATTAACATTTGTGCTTCTAGCATACATTATACTGTGGGGACGATTTATCAAAGTGTTCGGTTCTGAATTTTTATGCAAAAAATGTACCACCAATGGAATGTACCTACTGGTTCATCACGGTTGCCCCACTTTTAGTACTTCGACCACTTTGTAGAACAGAACACTTTTTTATAGATCACCCCTATTGTGTATGTGTATGTGTAAGCGTAGCAGTGAATACTGGAGTTTCTTATAACATATGATTTATGCACACACATAGCATGCCATGTACAAAATGGAAATTACACTATTCACAAGTGCTGTTCCTTCAAGCAATATAAATAATTTCTATATATAGAAACTGAAATCATACCAGCACTCAGGGACTTCACAAATCAATCATCTTTTTAATAACCTGATTCCACAAAAGTTGACGTTTCAGAACTTGTGTGTGTGTGTGTGTGTGTATATATATATATATTCCCAATTTGGAGGAAAATGTCACTAGTCCCTTGTGCCTTCCTTTATATAATCCATCTTATTGTATTTCTTACCTCTTCTAATCTTCTAACGTGTTTTATTTCTTATCCCCAGGACCTCTACTAATCTGTCAGTCTTCCTTTTCTCTCTCCTATCGGTAGTTCCATTATTGAACACAGATACACTATCCTTTTATAAATACCAAAAGACCATCTCCCTCCTGTCACCGGCTTTTTTAAACATAGCCTTTGCAACATTTAGAATATCTAGATCCTTTTATTTTTTTATTATCTTCTGTCACATTATTTTGTTTCCTCTCTGAAATGCATCTCTTTATTCTTCACATCCTCCTTCCTGTTCCTCATCTGAAGCCCTGGATCTTAATCTTACTTAATGTACACGGAGGTTTATTTTATTTTTTTAATTTATATTTATTTTCCTTTATGTGATTGTCTATCAGAGCTAGATATTTGTACCTTTGTGGAACGTGTCCTACCTTTTCATAGATCTGAGTTACTCGTTATATTTCAATGATCTGAATGAAAAAGGACAAAACGCAGACGAGCCATGGCTACAGAATCATGTCCGCTGCTACATCTCTACCTTCCCTTCCTTAGTACCATTTTTTTTTTTGCAGTTGTCATGCTGTGTTCTCTGACACCTAATTATATTGTGGATTAAAATATGGAGAAAACCCCCCGCCTGCTGGCTGCGCTCAACTTGCTTCGGGAGGGAACCCAGTTTCCCCCACAAGCCTTAGCAACGAATATATCTTTGATACCTATGCGTAAATTATTGCCCAATCTCACTGCTCAATTTGTGATCTAAAACTGTTCACCAAAATCCTATCCCATAGACTGCAGTGCTACCTCCCTGACCTGGTCCATGGGGATCAGATGGGATTTACACCACAGAGAGATGCGCGGGACAACACAATCCGGGCGCTTGCACTACTCCATATGGCCACACGTAGGTCGGAGTGCCTTCTCCTGCTATCCACGGACACGGAGAAGGCCTTCAACAGAATCGACTGGGGCTTCATACTCTTGGTCCTGGAGAAGTTGGGCATGATGGGGCCCTACATGATGAGCTGGATTAGGGCCCTGTACGCGACACCTACGGCATCAATGGGGCTTTAATTGAGCCTTTACCGATCCATAATGGAACCAGACAACGGTGTCCCCTCTCGCCCTTGCTCTGCGTCCTTGCCCTCTAACCCTTCCTGAATTTGATTCGGAATAACCCGACATACCGGGGCTGCAGGCGGGGGAGAGACATTCGGTGGTGGCATACGCAGACAATTTGCTGTTTTTCGTCACTGACCCTGAGACCTCTCTGCCTGCCATTATGGAGGAATTCACGGGATATATGGGAGGAAGCCTTGGGGACCACTTTTTCACCTGAACAATGGTCCGAAATATGTAACCTCACACTACATTGAGCAGACTCTAGTGGAGTACAAGAAACGGCCTACAAACTGCTAGCACTGTGGTATCGAACCCCACAACAGATCCATACCTATGACCCTGCCGCTGATGATAAATGCTGGATGTGTGGCGGAGAAATAGGCACCTCTATCCACCTATGGTGGGAATGCCCTCAGATCAGACCATACTGGTCGACCATCCACACACTCAGTTTTTAGACGACTCGCCACCACTGACCCCTGCAGCATTTCTAATACACCACACCAAAATGCGCACCTCTGCCTACAAAAAAATCCCTGACGATCAGGATCCTTAACGTCACTACAAGCCTGATTCCACTTTAATGGAGAAAGCAGACAGCGCCCCCCTGGCCCCATAGTACCAACGCATGGTAGAGATCAGAGCTCTGGAGGAGCTCTCCCTATAGGCAGAGGGGAGATCCCAGATGTACATGACAATCTGGACACACTGGATCCTCTCCACCGAAAGACCTGACTTCCAAGCCCTTATCCACTAAATGAGTGACTCCTCCTGAGACAGACAGCAGGGAACACAAAAAACGACAACAAAGACTAGAAGACCCAGCCCCGACTCTTAGCGGCAGTTGACGGACCACTCCCAGACTCCCAAGACCCCCACAAGGAACGGGACAGATGGAACCAGAAGGGGACACACAAACCCCTTAGACCGGACTAAAACGAGGGGACACTATATTGGCCTGCCAGACGCCTAAGACTTTGGATACATAAAGCTTGAGACACCGCTTCCGAACCTACCTTCCCCCCTCCCACACGCCCAGGCCTCCCCCCCGCCTATATTAGCCTAAAGCTCCGTGGCACCTGCTCTGGGAGGGGAAGTAACCTCAGAGGAAGGACAGTCCCCAGCGGACTACCAACAAGGCAGGGAGGGGAGAGAGAATGCCCTGGCTAGCTATTGCTGCAAATCTTCCAGTACCCCCGACAGCAGCCAGACCACTCCTATAGTAATCCCCACACTACCCACGGACCAGGGTCTGCCACCGAGCATGCCCTGGGGCCTAATGTTCAAGCAGTATTCCAGATACCTACATACTTCTCACTAGTTCCTCGCAGATCTGTGAATCCAACAGCTTAGTTATATATACGTCCTGTCATGGGTACCTGCGCGTACCACTGGAGTTCCTGCCAACAATGTGAGGTATTGTGATAACGAAACTATGTACAGCACAAAGATACGGGACCTACAAGTCCTCAAACGTTCGGGACATATACCGCATACCGTATTCGCATTTCATACTGACCTCCATGTTTTGTTAGGGACCTGCGAGTCCCATGTTATTTCCGCACCAAAACGGCAGATGAGACACAAATGGATGAAACAATAAAAAAAATGTATTTACAAAACAAATATGGAGAAAAAGATAATTTCAGCAACATTTTCCCCACTGGTTTTCATTAACATTCTTCTCTCTACTTTTAACAGTACATATAATATAATGTATTGCAGCTTTTTCTTTGTCCCGGTACAGATTCCTCTCCTGTCTTGCCTTTTTTTCTGTGGTTTTCCTGCCCTGTAAGGTCCCAGCTTTAACGTCCCCTCTTCTATCCCTTCTCGTCGCTGTTCCCAGCTGATTCAGTCCCTATATTATTGCAGTTCTTATCTGTCCCCACTTCCTCCATTCCAATAACAGGTATCTCCTCTGAGCCTGCCTTATTAAAATTCTATTCAATCCCAGCTGCACTCTCCTCACATCCCATTTCAGCCTGTATCTTTTCAATTGTGTCCTTCAATCCCCCATTGCCACAGTTTCCCTCTACCTTTTGATCTCCACTGAGAATTACAAGTAAGAAGCCAGAAGGAACATTTTCCAGATGGCAAAAAAGTTGTACATGGGAGATGGGAAGGCTATTCCATGCATCCACTACCCTCTCAGTAAAGTAATAATTCCTGGTATGATTTCTAAACCTTTCATTTTAAAGCAAAACCCCTGAATCATTGTTTCTTTAGCAAAGAAACCAATTTATCCTTAGCAAGAGCATCCCTCCTTCACAACGTGTCTCTGCTGCAACACAATTCATACAGGCCAACTGAGTTACTGCTAATCACGACTCCATGCGTTGAGTGGCTTCTTTTCCTACGTTCCTAGCTCTCAAACGGTTAACGCAAGTTCTAGCACCCTGCACGACGCATCCTGACATGGATGATTGCTAATGGATTTTATATAGAAAAGGCAATAAGGCACATCATTAGAGCAGGATTGTTAAATTAATTCCAGGAAATAGCATTCCATGTCAGACAGGATTCTGGGCTCCTGTTCTGCAAGCTAAGAGCTTAATCCTGAGGATTTAAAGAGCCACAGAGATCTTCTATAATCTGTTCTACAGACAAGCCCTGGGGAATCTCTAAATAAGGGGAGCATTTAACCCAGTCCTTTATCAGTATTCTCAAAGAAAGATGAAAAATACATATTTAATATTTATACAAACAGCACAAGGCTTCAGAATTGTATTTTTAATGCATTGGCTCAGAGCTTTCAGGGTTCTCTGAGAGCTAATTGAATACAGCCAAAAAAGGGTACACTGAATGCAGGGGGGTAACCCCTCGTAGAACTGAAAACACTAGAGGATAGTGTACCTCTCAACTGGGAGAAAGAGGTAATGGTGTGTGCCTAGACTACATAATAAATAATTAGAGCACAGATA